TAAATTATAAAATAATAGATTGTTTTCGGATAATGCTTTATAAAAATATATTTGCAAACTGTTTTTGATAAGGATAAAGAAAATGTTACAGCGAAATTTGTTTTGCATAAATTATATTATTTTTAATTATAAATAAAGAAATAGATTTGAGAACGATCTTATAATTTTATAGTTATTTCGTTCTTATAAAGAATTTTTTATGTTAAAATTTTAAAATATAAACTTTGAGTCTCATCCTCAATATTTAAAAAAAAAAACTAAAGGAATAGATTTATTTTAATATAAATTTATTATATATTAAAGGTGCATTTAAAATTATAGTTGAGGGGTTTTTTTAATTGTACAATATTTTTAAATAAATATGTATTTAGTAATTTTTTTAAACTATAAAAAGTCATAATAGGTAATAGATAACGATAATTTTTTATATAAAATTAAAAATCTTATTTTAAAGTTTTTTAGTTGTAGTTTAATAGAACACTAAATATTTAATATTTAATATAATTACAAAAATTTTTATTAAAATTCAATCTCATTTAATTCAATTACATCACAATTTATAATACTTTATTTAAATTTAATTTTTCATCTATTTAAAAATTTCATAAAAAAATAAAAATCACATACTCACTGCTTCTTTATGAAATATGAAGTCCAAAAGAACACCAATCATATAAAATCTAAATAACCTAAATTATTACAAAATAAATTTATTATATCATCTATAATACTTTTAATAAATAAATAATCATATACTAAAATAATTTTTACTCATAACCAAAAGACTAATTTAATATCACCACAACTACAATTATAATCACGACATTAGTCTCAAAGGCACTCTAAACCTTTAATCTCTACCCAAAATGATTAACCTATCATGTGATGAAGGCATCAGCCTTTAATATATGTATATATAGATATATATAGCTTCAGGTTAGAATCCTTGGTGCACGCTGCGTGGCCCCTTGAAACAAGTTGGGTGAATGACCAAGCCTCACCACTATAACAGGCCCAGCACCATCAAATGTAATGCAAATTCACCAACTCCATTTCCACTCAGAAATTGGCCTCTTCTGCATGTTACTTATGCCTCTGGGGCCTGTACTACTTCTAGACTATCATTTCAACTTGCAAGTAATTCCATTTGGCACCATCTTCACAGGGTAATTGCATGATAAAAATGTGGATATATATGAATGATATAATGAAAGGCTTAGATTACAATGATTCTGTTCTGTTTCCTGATATGTTGAGTAGGTAAGAACACAATGAATGATCCTTCCAGGGACGGAGCTACCATAGGACAAGGGGGGCAGCTAAGGTTTTGAAAAATGTTTAATCTAGTACATTAATTTTTAATTAGT